CAGGATTGCCTTACAAGGGATATACGCCAATCGTTTATATAGATCTACTGCAGGACCAGCAGATTACACTAAGCAATACAACCAACTTTTATCCCACATTCATTATGCTGCTATTGGCCATACTGATGATCTGTCAGATCTCAACTCTGTTAGCGTCCCACATTGGCCTTGCTGCCATCTCCACTCCAATCCTAATCTACCAAACTGATCGTACTGACACCGCACGGCATGTCTTGGATGCCGGTCTTCTTCGCCTGGCTCTCCAGGTATTGCATGTGCGCATCCGTGACGGGTGTATATGCATAGTCCAGCAGCTGTTGCATCTCATCCCTCAGCGCTGGCAAGGGATTGCACTCCTTGTGCTCTTCGGGAAGATCGATGATCATCGCCCGTATGTCTTTGGATAATTCCTCAACACTGAACCGGTAATCAGGCGTAGGTGTCTCCAGGAAGGCCACCTCCTTCAGGCCAATAGCCGCGACGCGCCTAGAAAGAGAGCCGAAGATCAAATCCCCACACAGGCTTGGTGACAGATGGAAATCCTTCGTCGTACCCCGATTGCATTTGCATTTACTGCACCATGTCGGGTGATCGACATCGCCGTGGCCGATGACGCTTCCACAGACATTGCATTGAACACTTGGCTTCCCGTTGCACAAGGGAATTGCGCAAAGTCTCAGAATCGTAGTGTTGAGTAAGGTTGTGATTTTTCCAATCAGGTCTCTTCTACCCTGTGCTATGCTCTCTGAAAAATAGTAAGCCGCATGAAAAGGTTTATCGGGCTGCGTTAGGAGGACATACCAATAAGTCCGGGAGGCTGCCGGTACGGTAGACCGCTCAGACGACGTAAAGTCTTGTGACCCGTCACAAGCTCGCCCTCGACATTGATCGGCTGACGGACCATTAAGCCTGCGGCAAACCTAGAAAACGCTTTTATGTGACCAAGTTCCCAGGATGACCAAAGTAGTGGAAATGTCTCGTCGCTTCCGAGGAAACGAATTTCCTCATAGGGGGCGAACCAGGTTGAAGCCAATGGGTTCAGTATCTTGGTCATGTCGTACTTTTCTGTGACAACTAAAACTTCGTAAAGCTGCTTCTCCCTGAGCGTCCGGGTCACATGCTGGAAGTGGCCGTGAATGATGCTCAAAATGAGGAAAATGGGTGAAGGATCGTCGTCGGGACGTTGGACGTTCCAGGCGGCGCCATCTGATGGTTTGGATTCGGTGAAGCCGTTGAAGAGCATGGCCTGGAAGACGGGCGAACTGCGGCCAAGTGTGCGCGAACAGACGACAAACTCGTAGGCGGACTGATCTCCACCAAATTTGAGAGTTAAATCACCGCGAGTGTCGAAGTGGTACGCCTCGCCGACCTGCAGGGCCAACATCGCGGCCAAGAGGCACGCCCATAGTGAATTCGTGACATCCTCGTATTCATCTCCTTCGCTGGCGGAGGATATCGACACGTCGGCTACTGGAATGTCGACTATTGGAATTTCGGCCGTTGCGGTGTCGGCCATTACGATCCCTGAGAGCACGATTTAGCGATTCATTGGAGGCAAGAAAATGACGAGGAAAATTGAGAATGCGACGAAAGAGGGCCAGGAAGGGAGGTTGCTACTTACCGAGGTCTCTGGCGACAAGACTTTTGAGACGACGCAATTAGTGCTTTGCTGAAAACATCACAGGGCTGGGTTGGATGGGTGGAAGAGAAAGAAGATTTCGGGACTTTGACCTGAAGGGGAGTTGTGCCCTCAAAGCCAGGCTTCTTCATAAATTCTTGCCCTCGACGGAAGAGAAGGACCAAGAAGACGAAGACACGTCCCGACGCGAAGATTCTAGGACCTTGCACTTGAGAATTTTCAACGCGAGAGTTCCGTGTGAACGAAAATTTCTTCTTCGATTTTGGAAAGGAAGGAACGGTCAAGCCATAGGATTGCTGTCTGCAACATATCTCCCAGACGTTCAGCTCTATCTTCACTCCCACTCTCACCACCACCACCACCACCACCACCACTCCGACTCTCACCTTCGATCCTCACCTTCGACCACATTTTAATATCCACCCGAGACCTCTCTCCAACTTCATTCTCCCCTTCACTTTACCAATCACTTCGAGCCGATATCGGTTTCCTTCGTTGCGTTCATCACCACTTCCATCCTGGGCCTCATCGCCATTGATTTTCGCCTGTCGCACCTCCCCTTCTCGTCTGCTTTCGCTTCCACTCTTCCACATCGAACACAGCCATGCGTCGTACGAAGCCCGCTTGGCACTGGATGAAGCGCCTCATGGAGCAAGAGGGCGCTTTCGACATGGACCCTCGAGGAGATCTCTGCCTGCTGGTCACCCCCGAAGATGGCAACGACGATGGCCTGGACTGCAACCATGACGATGACGATGCTGCCTCCGTCAAAAGTGAAACGAGCGACACTTCCAAGAATGGACAGCGGTTCGTTGTCTGCTCCAGAGCCCTGTCGCGTGCTTCGCCCGTCTTTTGCAAGATGCTGTACGGACACTTTGCCGAGGCCGACAGCAGTCGCAGCAAGGCCGTGAACCTCAACGATGCCATCGAGCCGATGTTCTTGGCCCTCTTGATCATTCATGGCCGCTTCGACATCGTTCCCGCACGCCTTACAGTCGAGGAGCTTTTCGATTTGTTGGTTATTACCAACAAATATCAAATGACCGGCATCGCACGCCCTTGGCTCCATAAGTGGGTACCTTACTTGAAGGCCATCCCATGCAGCCCTCACAAGGACCTCTTGGCCTGGATCGCGTGGGAACTCGGTGCCGAGCAGATGTTCGACCACGTTGCCAAAGCAATCGCTCGGGAATGTCGCGTCAACGAGGACGGCGAGGTTCTGGACACGGATGGTCTGCCCATGAGACTCAACGTCTACCTCGATGCCGCTGGCATCCTAGGTGAGCTACTGACTCCAGCCCCGTGCTTCCAGGACCACTAACTAAACATGGTATCAGATGGCATTGCTCGAGCCAGGGAGAACGCCGTGTCCTCACTCTTCTCACCTCTTCTGCTTTACATTCAAGAAATCCTCGATGGCAGAGGTTGCGCTGACGGGTGCATGGTCAGCAAAGCGAAATGCAACAACGCGGTGCTTGGTTCCGTGATGATGGCTTGCAAAACAGCCGGAATCGACCCTGCCCCTCTGATCTCTGGAACCAACCCAGTCTAGCTCGGTAGTGTATCAGAACTGCACGATCAACTCCAAAGAATGGTCGTCGAAAACCGGGACGGACATTATTGCAATCCGATTGGTCAAGCCCAGACCTTGGCTATGGTAATGATGAGCGTCGAAGACATGCCTTCGCCAGTGACGCAGATCCAGAGGGAGCATATGAAGAAGCAGAAGTCAATTTCAGGATGGAACCGCCAGTGCAACTGAGAGAGAATGTCAAGGGCGAACTTTGTGAACACTGCAACGAGGATGAGCAATGACAGATAAGAGCCACGAGGATGATGCCGCCGGGGATCTCGAGGGGTACTACAATGGTTTATTAGCAGAAGGCTGGGCAGACATGACAACGGGAGGAGACAATTTTGCAGGAAACACAATGTACGAGTAATACCAAGAACGTCTTCACCTCAACTCGGCCTTGCCTCAGTGATTACTCAAAACAATCCATGAAATTCCTATGCTATATTTATGCAGCGTCTTCCGGCATTACTTCGCTCATGTCAAGCCACTCCATGGTAAACGCCGTCACAATCCTCGTCCAGTCCCTTACTGTCGGCATGTCTAGGTGCTCGCCATCGTCCTCCGGCCTGTGCCACACATTAGGGAACGGCGACGGGATCATATGGAGGATGTTGACGCCCTTCGCCATGAAGGGAACGTGATCATCACCAATACCGCTACGTCCAAATCGGGCGGGGTCCTTTTCGGCGTCATTCAAGAAAGGAATGGCGGGCTTAGTCTCCAGGATGCCGAGATCGCGCATGCGCTTCTCGAGCTTGGCCATGCTCTTGTACGCCCAATGAGTCGTCTGGAAGTACGACGGGACCTGCGGGTTGGCTGAGCCCAGGAGGTCGAGTAAAACAAAAATGCTGATCTGTTCGAGAGGGTTCTTGTAGTGAGACATGGCTGGGTTGTATGTTTTCTCCCACTCATCTGCCAATGACCTGCTTCATGTCAGCTCATAACCCTTCAACTAGAGACCTCCTCAACTCACCTCGCACCGTACAACGAGTCGGTATCCGTCCACGCTTTGAACGCCTCCTCGCCGTCCAACAACAGAATCTGCAGTCCCATGTCCTGGGGCACCGTCCCGCCATTCTCACCAAGCGCCACCATCTCATCGTACATCTGAGTCAGGTAAGGGTCAACCGCCTTCGCAATGTGCATCAGCATTGCACACGGCACCGCGCTGTCCGTCGCGCCGATGAACCCTTCGGGCTCGATCTTGCTGTCATAGTGAGCCACGAGGGTGAACCAATTGGCCTGTCCGAGCTTGTTCCACGGCGGCTCACGGCGGAAGATGAGATTTTGAAAGGGGATCTGCTTGTCTCCCGTGGCGGGCGTCGTACCGGTCGAGTTCTGCCACTCAATCGACCACTTGGGCAGCTCCTTTCTCCAGAAGTTGACAAAGTGCTCCTGGGTCTTGACCTGGCCGGGCGTGCCTGGGACACGCGGGATGAGGATGGGGGCGAGCAGCGGGCCGTTGTGGATGTCAAAGTCGGCCTCGTTGATTGTGATGTTGCGCAGAGCGGTGTTCGACAGGTTCATGTAGGCGCGGACGGAGGCGGCAAACAGGAGGTGCAGCAAGGCTGACAGCCAGAGATGGCCGCCTCCTCTCACCAAGGGGAGGCCGGCCATGGCGGGCTGTGATGGGGACAGCAGACGCGATGGGATCCTCCTCGGGTTCTCATGAACTCATGCTGCGCTCTTCGATGAACAGGAAAGTAAGCCGATGTGTGCGCACGCGTGCGGGATTGGTGGTTCGGTTGATTGATGAGTCGGCGACGGAAGTCCGACGATTTGGATGAGAGTCGTGGCGATGGGTTTTGAGATTCCGAAGAGGTGTCAACTTTTGGACGTTCCCCCGACCGAGGAAGGGATGGCCCAAAGAGGTTAGAGCGAAACTCTCCTGCAACGCACCTCCAAAGGACCCCTGGCTGGTGTTTTAAAACAGTGGGTCTGAGTTGATTAGTAAGGTGTTTTGCAGGCAGGGACCTCTTCCTCGGCGGTTCGGCGCACCTCCACCTGCCTAGTCGCCTCCACATCGGCCCGTCGCGCACGTGCCTTCGCGAGCGCGTTTCTGTCCAGCTGTCGCGATCAGGTCCGAAGCATTTGGCAGCTGTCAGCGGCGAAGTGGTTTCGCTTTGTTTTCATGTCATCATGCCAAGAATAAGTAGGCAGACCCAAGATGGCAACAGCAATGGCGCAGCATCGTATCTTGAGCGCGAACTAGCAATAGCGCGTCCTTCGAGCCTGCCACACAGGAAAGCGAACATCCCGAATCCCTCGCTAGCCTCTGACAATGGAAGTCGGCACGTGTGGAAGTTTATCTGGGTCCAAGGGGCTAAGGCCAAACGCCAGCCCACCTCCTTGACTCCTGTCAAAGGGAGCACGATCTTCACATCGACGCAGGGAGTCATGACAAACATGCTAATTCAGTATCGTAGGTATCATATGCCATCAATTCTACATCACCCCCTTCAAAAATATTCCCCCGTTCTTCATCATCGTGATCAACATCAATCCCGAATTCTCCCCAACATGGCCCCAACATGGCCATGGACGTCTGTATTTGTCTCAAGCACCACCACCCGCCGGCTTCATGAACAAGCGTTCCCTCTTGCAGAGCAAGCTGCTCACAAGAACCACCGCGCCAGCGACGATCACCAAGATGTACGGCAAGTTCAGAGCTTCGACGATAGCATCCAGAATCTCAGCCTGCATGTCCGGAGGCAATGTCTGCACAAAGTCTCCTCCGACGCCAGCAATGGCAAGCTGGATTTGCTCCTCCGGGACGGTATCCGGAAGAATCTCCGTCAGCCGCTTCTCGGCCCTGTTCAGGAACACAGCATTGCCGACTGCCAGGGCAATGTTGATACCGCTCGTCTGGGCCAGTGCCATCATTGACGACGCCACGGCCGCCATGTCCTCCGGCACGCTGGCTTGCGCAATGGAGAAGCCCGCCTGGGTGAAAGTTCCGACTCCGGCTCCGAGCATGGCCGAAGCTCCGTATACCCAGGCCGTGCTTGTACTCGGCTCGACAACATACATCAGCGACGACGCAGCGACGACAATCGCTCCGCCGACCGTGAACCAGGGGAAGTAGAGCCCACCAGATGGATGCGACAGTACGCCGCCCTGGAGAAGCGTGACGAAGACCGCGAGGATGATGAATGGAAGCAGACGCACAGCAGCGTCAATCGCGCTATCGCCGCGCGTAAACTGGAAGAAGACGGGGATGAAGTACACCGGAACGAAGATGGCACAGCCGCCGGACGCGGTGATAGAGAACATGAGGATGATGGTGCGGTAGTACCTCCTTGACACGATCAGCTCGACGGGGAAGAGGCGACGTTCCTTAGTGGTACCGATGCAGTATGCTTGCTGAAGACCGAAGACGATGAAAAGCACGCCAGCGACGACGAATAGGGCGATCTCCTGGCCCGAGTCCCAATCATACATGACGCCACCGAAGCTGATGCCCATCGTGAAGCAAATGATGGCACCAAGCATGAGAGGAGCACCAACCCAGTCAATCTCCTTGAGGCGCTGCCACAGGGAAGCGCCGGGCTGGGGATCGGGAGAGGGAAGCATCCAGAGGTACACCGGTGCGGCGAGACCTCCAATGGGAAGGTTGATGTAGAAAGCCCAGCTGCCCTTGCGTTAGTAGATGAAGCTTATCGTCGAACAGGAGGCTTACCGCCATGTCGCCCCTGAGTCGGCAAATGCACCACCAACAACAGGTCCCAAGACAGTTCCCAAACCCCAGGTCAACCCAATGGACGCAAGATACGCAGGCCGCTCCTGGATAGTCGTCGTAGCCGCAATCAACGTCATCACACCGAGATACATGCCCACGCCACCAAGACCGCACAGAGCGCGCCCAACAATGAGAGCATTCATCGTCGGCGCCGCACCACACACCGCGCTGCCCACCTCGAACACTACGACACTCCCGATGTACAGCCACTTAGGCTTGAGATGCGAGTACAGCTGGCCGAAGAGCAAGTTCGTTGACGTCGCCGCCATGATGAAGGCGACGGCCAACCAAGCAATGTCCGTGATGGCATCGAACTGCAGCACGATTTGTGGCTGCACGTCCGCAACGACGGTGTTATCAAGCGCGAAGAGGAAGGTCGAGGAGAGGATGGCGAAGACGACGATGATCCAGCGGATGCCGGTGACGGTGCGGACCGGCTCTGAAGTGGTCTCTTTGGTGGCGCCGCGCTCTGTGTCGGTGTTATCCCCTGAGACGGGACCCTTGGTGGAGGCATTGTCAGCCTCTGCCTTCTCCAAGGGGCCTCCTGTGAGTGGAGTGCCTGGCTGCTTCTCGGTTTCGACGGCCATGATGTCGGTATAGAACGGAGAGGGTACAGAACGAGGGCCTCAGGAGCTTGGCTTGTCGTTCAGCTGGATGGAAGTGAACCGGGAGCCTGGGACACGGCGCGCCCATATATCACCTCCCTCGCCCCCTATGAGACCATCAGGCAAGCCGTCAGCCCAATCTCACGGCCTCGGAATGGGATCATCAGTGTCGTAAGCTGCAGATTGTTCTTGGCTCGTCCACCCTGTCGTCCTCGGTCATTGCACCAAGTCAGTTTTTAAGGCGTGCCCAACTCGCCAGCTGGGCTCGAACAGCCTTGTCATCCCCGACCTATCAACGAAGAAGACGTCTCTGAACCTCATACGGTTTCCTCTTTCAGGGAAGCAAGCCCCAAACAACACTTTTCAGGCCATGAAAGCAGCGTAGAGATAAGATCAAAGAATGCCCATCTCATTCGCATATCCGCTCACAAAGACGGCACAAAGACGGCCTGCCAAAGGGCCCCTGCCTGCCGAGGACCTCACACTGCAAAGATACGAGAGCCGCATGAACCCATCCGACCACTTCAGCCGAATCCAAATCATAACCCCTTACCCGTCGCATTCGGCCCAACCACCCACCCGGTTGGCCGCCTTCTCTCAGATACCCTCGACCCGAATTTGCGAAAAGGACCACCTTCAAAACCTAACGCTGACGTCTTGCATCCCAGAAGCGCCACAAACGGTGACTTCCAGTCCGCACGCACCAACCAGACGCCTCACAAACAGCCCTACGGAGACTCCCTCCCGGGACGCGATATCGTGGTCCAATCGTGGCCATTGAGGATGAGATAAGCTCGAGCAAACGTGGACAGCACACCGACGCCATAGTTTTGTACCGAACCTCTATCACCGGCACCCTCGGAGTTTGACATGAGCTGCTGGAATTTGACGGCGTACTCTTGTCCAATCCGCTCTATGGCTATCGTCCATCGTGCCCTTTTGCGTTCCGCCAAGACCATATCCGAAGCGCCAGCGACCGTCCGTCAGCAAGCGCATCAAATAATATGCTTACCAGCCGTCAGTATTGCAGCATGTCAATCTCTCCGAATCAGCCGTTGCGCTGGCCCAGACCGAAACGGGACGCACGTAATGTCAGACCAATCGCAGACACGCATACTGGCCCTCAGAATGCGTGACGCTGTAATCTGCAATTGCTTCTTTCAACTGCGAACACATGACATGCGCGTGGTGCTGACCCGGGACAGCGGTCATTGGCTCGTAGCATCTGCTGGGTGTCGGACTTGTGCGACGTGGCTTCTCTCGGGTGCTGCTGACATAGGCTCTTGCATACCAGCCTGTTTGCAAGCCGGGTCTCATTTGCTGGCCTGTGCTGGTCAGTAAGCATACCATTTGATGATTCAATGCGACTTACGCTTTTCAAGATGGAGTATTTGAAGTATTTCAAGCCCATCACTTCACTGTCACTCTCAGCCACGTAAGTAAAGCAAAATCAAAACTTTTCGGTACTATGGACTATTTTCTGCCTAAAATGCCTGCGTGCTGCAATGGTCCATCTTGTGATATGGCCATCTATCTGGCGCTACATCCTTCGCGTAAAAAATCCTGATTCCCCCCCATTCCTCAAATGCAAGCAAATGTTAACGTCTTGTATGACGTTTCGTAAGCAAATTCCGTAAGTTGAAACCGTTCTCCCTTTCAGGCATCGTCCTCCGTCTTGAAGATCACCGAGACATTCTGAGCACCGACTTGATTTCCATCATGAAGGACGGCGAAGTCGACACTGTTTCCAGAGCAGGTCATCTCGACACTGAACTCCAACCGAAGAAACACCCTACCCGTGGGGCTCGTGTAACGCTTCAGAGACTTGAGTTCAATCTTCTTAGTCCACGTGATGGTGCAAAGCTCATCGATGTCATTGTTGAACGTCTTGGGCGCGGGCCAAGCGGAAGTGGCGTAGATGGTCTCAGAGACTTTCTTCAGAGTCGTCTCTAGCAGGCGGTAAAAGTCCTTACTGACTGGATCGGCAATCGAAACGTCGGTTCCCTATAGATGAGAGTTAGTAAGCATTATTTCCGGGAGACACATCCAAGTCCGTACCTGTTCAAGGAACCACTTCATCTGGTTACGCGCCTTCCAGTTGTGTTCACTTGTGCACCAGTACTTATCCTTGGGATCATGTACACCGAACTTAAATGGGGTTGAGTGCATGATACCGTAGCTTCTGCGGGAGATTCTTGAAGTGATTCCGACTGAAAGATCAGGTGCAAGGTTGCGAGCAGTCAAACCACTGATGACTGCACCGCGGCTGATGGCGCTCCAACTACCAATATGTTAGTAACGAAACACATCACGGGTCGTCTTCCTTACGGCTTGTTGCCTGATCCCTGGAGAATCTCGATCCCTCTGCCAATGATTTCCTGAAGACGTGTCCGAAGATTGATGCATCTGCCGAAACCTCCAACCAAGATGATTTTCTGCACTATGATGTTAGTACTCAACGGGAAACAACAATAACACCTTCTCGTACCTTGGGCTTCTTGTCTGTCTTTCAGAGGACAGCCCCAATCTGCTTCTGGACCAGGTCTGCTGTCTGGTCAATGACAGGGTCAAAGACTGTGAGAAGGTCATCGCGGCTGAGAATCAGGTTCTTCTTGCGCTTCACTCCACGCTGCGAGGTGCCCGGAACGCGGCACTCGGAAGGTAGACCAAAAGAGAACTCATCGCTCTGGCCGTAGAATCCGGTCTTGATGCCATTTTCCCAATCGTCGTTGAGCAGCTTCTTGGCTTCGTTCTTAGGCACATTGCCCCACGCTTCAGGTGTAACCTTCGTCTTAATAAGCTCAATGAAGGCTTCATCGAGAAAGACACCTCCGCAAAAGTCACCATCTCCTTCGACTGCTTCGCGAACCACGAAAGGTTCCATGCTGAGAATCTAGTAGCTGATGAGGTCAACGGTACCTCCTCCAGCATCGCACACAATGATGTGGTCACCAACCTGAGAGTCGATGTTAGAAACAAGTTGCAACACGTTTGAAGGGGCTCTCACGGAGATATTAGGTCTCTTGCTCAAGTCTCTTACGGTTGCTAGAGCAGCAGCTTCAGGCTCGGATATGAAGGACAAGGTCGTGTCACCAGCCGGGCGCTCCTTCAAGATGCCCGCACCCTCAACAGCCCTGCGCATGCGCGCCTTGGCATAATCAGGCCAAATTGCCGGAAGAGTGATGGCGACCTGCAAGCGACACATGTCCACAAGGTCTTGCCCATGCGAGGCAATGATGCATTCGACGGCATGATCCCAGAAACGGGTGAGGTACGCGCTGATGACCTCAACAGGGTCTTTGTTCTCCTCTTCCACCATCTTCCGGGCTGCAGCAATCTGCGGCGAGTCCTTCACCTTGTTGGGAAGGTCCTTCTCGTCGACTAGCAATAGCTTGAACCATCTCATAGGCTCTTGCTTCGCATTCGGTGGGATGCCATAACCCCAAGAAACGGGTCCACGCTTTCCAGGGAAGAGAATGGCGGAGGGTGCTTTCTCTTTGTCGGAGTTGAGGTTCAGCTTGGATTCCCATCGACTGATCACCTCAATTTCCTTAGGCTCTCCCGAGTATGCGAAGCTTGCACCCGAGAAACTGCGTCAAGCATCAGTAGTGAATTTCAGGAAGAGATCTTGCAATGAAACTCACGTAGTTCCAAAGTCTATGCCAACGATGATGACATGCTCGTCATCGTCGCCTGAGCCATTGGCCATGTTGGCAAGTATGCTAAGCAGTAGAAGAGGCTGTCAGCTAACAGCGACACAAGATGACAGATGAAAATTGGTGTCGGAGCGCATGCAAGAAAGGTGAAGAATTGTGTGCACAGAAAAAATATTTCGAACCCAAAATTGAAAGGCGATGAGTAAGATGTTAAGACTGGGCCAGCTTGAAGGAGAGCTTTATGTGTGACAATGTGTCTACTTACCTTAGGCTGTTCTGGATGGAAGTATTGAGGTAGAGTAGGTGACTGTGAAAGTAGCTGGTGATGTTGTAAAGAAGCGAGAGGATGGGGAAGAGAAAGAGGCATAAAGTTCAGATTTAAATAGTGAGAGGATGGGAAGATTTGGTCAGTTTATCTGGATGCTCAGGCAGGAGCGGCCAGGCATCTAAAATGAAGTTGATAAGTGAATAGAGAAGGTGCTCCTGCCTTTCGAGTGTTGGGCGAATGTCAATAGCTTCAATACAAGAAAGAGCTACCCAGTCACCAAAGTTTCCTAGGCAGGTATGGAAACCAACCCAGAACGCAACTTCTAGATTTGGCTAACCAGGTCCAGAGTGCCCCGCAATATTCTGGATAAATATCTTTCTTCTCCTCGCCTTCCAATATCTTTTTTACTTTTTTCCAACCTTGCATGTTTCACAAATCTAACTAAGCTAACTCACACTCAACAGTGGAGTGACACAAAGACACCATGGACTCAAAGGTCAAGAAGGTGAGCCTCAACATGAGGATCATTTCGAAACGGAAAATAAAACATTTGCTGACCATCGGATTGATTTCAGGAGGAGCAAGACCCTACATCATCACTAGACCGATTTCCATCTGTGTTCCCCGAGGGAAAGCCTCGAGAGAAGAGCCTCACCGCTCCTGACATGGAGCCACTCGCACCAATTATGACTGAAAGCACTCCCACGCATCAGCAATCCCAGGCACAACATGGCTTCGGCAAGAAGGACGCCTCGAAGATCATCCGCGGAAAGAACAAAACGATCAACAAACAGCGAAGAAAGATCAAGCAGCTCGGAAGAAACCTCGAGGAGGCCAAGAAATGCCGTTCAGTGGTACAAGACTCGAGAAGTGCACGGCTCCGAGCGGAAGTTGAGAGACTCAACAATGAGTTGTCATTGAAGGAGGAGAAGATCAGAGGCGACCAGGATTACAACTCGTATCTTGAAACATCATTCAGCAACTATCGTGGACAGCTTGACGCAGCCGAGGAAATAAATCTGCAGGAAGCACAGAGAACCCAGGTTCTGGAGGAACAACTTTCGCAACAGGAGGCGGGATACCAAGGGGCGATCTAGAAGCTCCAAACAAACATCATCAATCTCCAGAACAATGACAAGAAGCTCAAGTCTCAGCTGATGGAAAAGAAGGCGCTCATCGCAAAGGCCAAGTCGCTCGCATGCACAAGCAAGGTCTCAGACGACGCGATTCTGAGTCTTTGGAGGAAGATGAAGTACAGCATTCAGAACATAGCCTCCACGATTCTACCGGAGTGTCCTTCCCGGGAAGACATCGAAACTAATATTGCAGACCCAGACTGCGTGCTCAGCATCTTGAAAACCCGGATTTACGGTTTTCTCCGAGATGAGGATACGAGATCTAGCATTGTTGAGCTACTCATATGGGAAATGCTCCAGCAGGAAATTTTCAAGCCATTCTCGGAGACCCTCACTGGCGTGCGTTGGGATGGCCTGGAGGGCCAATGCTTCTCTGTCATATTAGAGGGCATGGCAGGTAAGATAAAGCGTCCATGTTATATGAGCCTACGGCTGACGCTTTCCCATCTAGACACCGCCCTCAAAAAGGATTCAGACGCCAAATCATTCTTCCAGTGGAAAGCCGAAGGCGCCGGGATGATCGAGGATAAGATCGGAGTCGACAAGCAGAAGCTTAAGCGAACGGCTGATGAACAGGCTGCGACCTTCTATCTATTCGTGCCACGACATAGAGTTCACCACAAGACCGCCATGGAAAGGCTCTTCAAGAACCTTTGCAATGTCATCGAAGATGCATTGAGTCTTCATAAGATCTTCATGACGTCAAAGGCACACTTCACCCTGGACCGGCCCCAAGCAACGGGTCGTGGTCGCCTCACCCGATACGACTCGGAGTGGATGGATGCCGAGTCTTGGGTCAAGGATCCTTTGGACAACCGGAGCTCCCTGAACTTCCTCATTTCCCCGGGACTCGTCAAGCACGGCACAGCGGATGGAGAACACTACGACCAGCAACTTCGATTGGTCAAGGCTCGTGTTGCCTGCAACTGAGAAACATTGGCTTGGAACTTTCTTTTCTTTCTTCAACATCCATTTGGAAGGATTTTCATGTGCTGCAAGGTTGCGTATCATCCCATCAAGATTGGCAAATTACTTTTTAAGGGAACTGCAACAAGACAGCAACGTAGCACTTGGCATCAGATAGCATTATAGACAATTGCAACTCACATATTCTTACATGCTGTGCTGCATTGTGATATTCTCCGGGGAAAAGTTCATGACGATGCGTTCAACCTATTGCGAGGTGACTGGATACAAACCTTGGATGCTCATGTCGGGACCTTCTGGACTCTGGGGCAAACGCATTAGAAAAGGTAGGTATGTAGACATCCTTTCAGGTCGTCAATGTCTGAAACTTGAGAGGCTATCAAGGTCGCCGCTTTTTTGTTCACCATCTCGGTCTTGTCCGTCTCCGAAAGTGTTGCCACCACAACCGTATGACTACCGCCTCGCACTTTAGAAATACCACCAGCGAAGATCTTCCAAAATCGCTTCAAAACCCACCCGTCTCGCATAATTCTCACTTCCCGCCTGTCACGCCTATCCCCCATCATGAACACAACCACCATCAACCCCTCCTCCCCCTCGACCAAGCTTCTCAAGCAATACCTCTCCCTAACCACCCACCTCTCGCCCTCCTCCTCGACCCTCACACTCGAATACCAAACCGACGACACCTCCGACACGAACGACGCCGCAGAAATAGGCGAAGGCTGCTGCGCCACAATCTACGCCCTCTCCCCCTCCTCCATCGCCAAAGTCGCGAAACCAAACAAGCAGAACGAGCTCTGGAACGATTTCGGCGCGCACCTATCCGTCTACGAGGCCATCTCCGCGACACCCACCGCCACACTGGTGCCGAAGCCAGCGTACTACCTTCACGTACAAGACGTAACCACCTGGCGCGCGGCGCAGGCCAAGAAGATACCCAGCCGCGAGCCGAACGACGTCCTCTGCGCCGAGCGCATCCCGCCCCTGCCGCAGGTCATCCGCAGATCACTTGTTGACGTATTCTGCCCGAAAGAACAGACGGCGGAGGTGCTCGAAAACAAGAAGAATGACGCTTGTCTGATGAGGTTGTACCTCGGACGCAGGCGGCCGAGCAGCGTTCACACACAAGGCAAGTTTTCCCTGCGGAATTTTGAGCTCACGCTCGACAAGATGAAGCTGCTCGGTCTCGACGCGATGCAGTTCGTCGCGCCTATAGCGGAGGCCTTGGCGGTGGTGCACTGGCAGGCGGGGAGCGACGGGCGCGACATCGAGTTCGTGCTCGGTGGCCCGCCGGAAAGGAGGATCTCTGCCGAGGGTTTTAGAGTGCTCGACGGCAATGTTCACACGCAGATGGTCACGACGTGGAGGAAGGCTGGGACAGTGGACGGGGTAGCGGACTTGCAGCAGAGCACCGTCTGCGTCTGGTTGTTGGATTTTAACCAGTGTTCTAGGATCAAGGCGGATGCGCAAGGGGTTCAAATGGCGGCGGACGCGTATTGGGATAATGACCCGTATTATCCACGGCCCACAAAGGACGGCGACAACGACAGCACCGAAGGACAGGTCTGGAGGGAATTCAAGACGGTGTATTTGGCAAAGGGTAGGGCGATACTTGGAGAGGGCGCTACGCAGCCGGTGGACTTCATTGACTCTCTTGAAGCCAGAGGACAAGAGAGACAGCAGGGCTTGGTCATGGTTGGGCCCCCCAAGGCAGCAAGCGCTGGGCCAGGGAGTAACTCCAAGAAAAAGAAAGGCAGGGAGTATGTCGGTTTCTGATCAGGATCAATCGCCGCACGACAATACAGGAAGATGGCCCGAGAAAGGACACCAGGACCCGGCATCACGAGCAGACGGTGACAAACATCGACATTGGTGGTCAAACCAAGCACCGTCCGACCCCGGATTTCCACTCCCGACCCCCCACGCCGAGTCGGTGCCGGCCGATGATGTCCCACTGCGATGATAGGACCAGACCCCGGTCTCGCGCAATCGAAACGGCGCTTATCTCCGCTTGCGGCGTGCCCTGGCTCCCCCATCTTACTTACCCCAGCGGTTGTTCGCCTGTAGATCCATCGCGGATGGTCCCCTCACCAAGCGCGTCATAGAGTAGCCTGGCAATTGCCGAAAAATATCGTGGAAAATTTCTCTTCCCTCGTGCCAAAGACTTCATCCGAGACATGTGTCCGCGACGAAACTGAGAGTTTCTTCTGGTTTGCAATCTTGGACTTGACCGTTGCCCGCCCAGACTCTCGAGATCGCGCAGTGCAATGACTTCGTCACCAGCTCTAATCAATTAGCCTCCCCAACGGACTTCCGCGCGAGCGCTAACCAGCGGGAATTTTCTCAAAGATAACGGCCTTTGACTGCGTTCCCTTTTGCGAAGGTTCTCGTCAAAAAGGGTATTTGAAGCGGCTCTCAAAGGATTCGTTCTGCCGCTGTTCTACGGCGCAAAAGGCAAGATGTTGGAGAAGCGAAACTCTGCTGATGGCGGAGGTGGTGACACGGACAGGGACATGGTTGTGGCGTCCGCCACTGCGGCAGCACCCGCCAAGGAAGCTTTCAGCCCGCAGGATTCAGCCCTGAACTCTCCCCGGGATGGCTTCGCAGACGAGAAGACGGAGAGGATACCGGACGGCGACATTGGGACGACGTCGCCGTCGTCGAGTTCGGACTATGGTTCCCACAGGGTTGGAGATGAGAAGGGACGGGACGGGGTCTGGGACCTCGCGGTGAACGTGTTGACTTGGACACCGAAGAAGCTTCGATACGACCCGAACAACCCTCCGCAATTTTCGCTGGCGCATAACTTCTTGTACGCTGTGGTAAGTGTCTAGAATTGCACCGCGGACGACGAAATACTGATGGATGCAGGCGGCGACCTTTACCGTTGCGGTTCTGTATTACAACCAACCCGTATTGAACAAGATTGCCGAAACATTCGACATCAGCTTTGAAAGGGCGTCGTCAGTTGCGACGCTGATGCAGGCTGGGTATGCCGCGGGCTTGCTCTTTATCTGCCCGCTGGGCGACATGGTACGGCGACGGCCGTTCATCTTGATTCTTATCTGGGTCACGGCGATGCTGGTAAGTCTCCCTCCACACACATCGGGACAAGCCTGACGGTTGCCAGTGGCTCGGCCTCTGCGTGACCAACTCCTTCGCCGTCTTCTCTGCCTTGTCGTTCCTTGTGGGAGTCACTACAGTCACGCCGCAGCTCATGCTCCCTCTTGTCGCCGACATGGCCCCGGCGAACCGCAAAGCGAGCTCTCTCTCCATCGTCACGTCGGGTCTGATGCTCGGCATGCTGATCGCGCGTCTGCTCTCGGGAATCGTGGCCAACTTCACCTCGTGGCGCAACATCTACTGGTTCGCCTTCGGAACGCAGTACCTCCTCCTGATCCTGCTCTTCTTCTTCATGCCGGACTATCCGTCGACGAACCCGGACGGGCTAAACTACTTCAAGGCGCTGTGGACAATTGTGACCATGTTTTTCAGCTCGCCGATCCTGGTGCACGCCTGTCTGATCGGATTCTGCATCAGCTCCATCTTCACGTCCTTCTGGACAACGCTGACATTCCTGCTGGCCTCGCCGCCGTACGAGTATCCATCGTTGACGATCGGCTTGTTCTCACTCATTGGTATTGCGGCGATCTGTGGCGGGCCGGTATACGGACGGCTCATCATGGACCGTTACGTGCCATTCATGTCTTCGGTGCTGGGACAAACGGTCATCCTGATCGGGTGTCTCGTTGGCGCCTTCACAAGCACAATCACCGTGGCGGGGCCAGTGATCCAGGCGATCTGTATCGATATCGGCATCCAGACGGCGCAGACGGCGAACAGGACGGCCATCTACACCATCAACCCCAAGGCGAGGAACAGGGTCAACACAGCGTACATGGTGTCGGTTTTCTGCGGACAGTTGACAGGTACGGCAGTGGGGAACAGGCTGTATGCGCAAGGCGGATGGAGGTACAGCGGTGGCGCAACCAGTAAGTCTATCTCTCGCGCAGTTGCTTTGTGTGGCGAACTCGGTTCTGACGTGGCACAGTTGGGTTCATCGGGTTGTCTCTGCTCGTGACCCTATCGAAGGGGCCCCGGGAAAAGGGCTGGATCGGATGGAGCGGCGGGTTGAAGCTGCGCAAAGACGAGGCCCCGGCACCGAAGCCGGTCTCGCCCGAGGACGGACAAGGGGCGGAGAAAGTTGTTGGGGAGGAGAAGGGAGCGGCGGTGACCGGGGCGGGCGGGGAGGAAAGCCGGCGATGACGAGCAGAAGGACGGTGAACGGTTTTCGGGGACCGGTGGAATGGCGTGTGTATGCAGGTCGGAAGTGTTGTTGACGGGGCTAATGCAACCCCAGATGAAGAACGGCCGCCGTAACGCCATGACTCGAAAGTGGCCGTGTTGATGAATCTTTGATGACAGCAGTTGTTTGTCCACTGGTGTGGTATTTTGGGTCCTGTCCTTTGCCTTCCCAGTCTTCTTTCCTCTTTTTTGAGGTGCCTCCTTCCATCTGCTTCCACGCTCAATCGCACCTGCCTCTTCGCATCTTTGGCAGGTCCCGTGGCAACGGCAGGGTGCGGCACAGCGGCATGACCCCGGAAAGAGACCCGCCCAAACGCCTGCCAAGACCCATAGTGAGGCCTTCCAGGGTGCAGAGTGGCGGAGTCTGCCTGGCAGTGCCTGGAAATGTCACTGGGCGAACTGTCCAGACCCCCAAGGCACCCAGACAGGCGGCACGCTCCAAGCAACAGCCTTGAAGCCTCAAAGCATGTCGCTGAAAGTCTCAGCGAAACACCACAATAACACCCCCGCAAACAACGAAAACTGGAACAGCGCAGCACCTGGCAACCGACCCTCCACTGCAAATGAGGCCCACCAGAATCACGTTTCCGGGGTCTCTGTGGCCACTGGATAGGTACCGACCGAATGGCGGATGCGACCCGACCCAACCACCCGCCAAAAAGCCAAGATCGGCAGCCCAAACGAGCGATTCTGCTGCACTGCGAAAATGGTCGATAAAAAAAAACCGGTCTTGGCCCAGATCCCAAAGGACCGGGATGACACCTTGCCCTGCCTTGCCCGCCCGTCTCACTCTCACCGACACAGTTTCATTCACCTTCATCTCACTGCATCGACATTGCCATTGAATCGACGCCCGTGTTACCCTGAAACCGACGGCAAGAAAGCCATGTTGAGCTGCGTTCCGTACGGCGCCAGCAACTCTCTCCAACGGCCCTGATGGCTCGATACCAGGGCCTCGACTCGTCCGACCTGTTCCGCTTCGATACCCTCCAATTGCGCGATGAGATTCTGCTGATTGACGGGAGGACCGCCTCCAAGGTTGAATACGATGAGTATGTTGTCTTCAAGAAGGACAGCAGCGTGCTCTCGGGGTTGACCCCGGATGATGAGGGCGGGAACGATGTCACTTTCAAGCTCAACCACGATGAAGAGAGGCCAGGCTACCAGATGCTAGACCTCGCTTTTCGCCGCGGCTGGGTGGTGGATCACAATGTATGCAATTCGGTCTCTCCTATTTGTCTTCATGAGATCCAATTGCTGATGTGTGAACAGGGCGACTTTACTGAAGAGCCAGCTCGCGATCCCTCCCTAGTGCTAGACGGGCGTGTGAAAAGAGTGTGAGTGACGATAAGTCCCCCCGCATCAAGACCACAGCTGACCCTCGCAGCATCTGCTTCCGTCACAATAAGTCTCTTGACCGCAGAGAGGACGGCATCACAATGACCCCTCAAGACATAGACGCCCTCAAATTGCACCCAGCAACCCTCCAGTACTCCCGTCGCGTCACCAACGAATCTCGCTTCTGGTCCCTCGACCAGAACAAACTCAGTCTCATCCTCTCCTTCTCCAGCAACCCCAGGACACCCTACGACTTCATGTCCATGACCTACGACATCCGCAGCCGCACAACAACGCTGCTCGTCCGCCAGAGCTATCACCCTCGCATGCACAACCTCCAGAACCTCGACGAGTACGACCAACGCCTCGAGGCCTGCCGCGCCCACTGGGCCCACCCCTTCATCACCCCTGTCGTCCTCCTTCAGGTCCAATTCATGCGCACCGAGGAGGCCGTCATGGAGAACATCAACCACGTCAGGGCTCTCGAGTGGGAAGTCAGCAACATCGCCGGCTTCGAGGCCTTTGAGATGGAGCGCGAGCGGCGGTCCAAACTCATCCGCCGCCTCACCTTCTCCGCCAACAACGACAAGCAGCCGCCCTTGGCCGGACCAATGAGTATGGCCAACCTGATGAAAAGCGCCCATGACGTGTTGAAGGAGTCGATCAAGCTGCTGGACACGGTTCGCTGGATGGAGAGGGTGGTGAAGCTGATGCTTCTGACCGGCAACGAATTGGCGCAGCGCATGTCCACGGGAGAACAGATCAATATGCGCCTGCACGACCTCAGCGCGAGGAATTTTGACGACGACGACCGCGACCGCCAAGACCAGCAGGCGCAAAATGACGAACCCGCGACGGGCCCGCCATCGCGGTCGTCTGCGAGCACCCGGAGAAGATCAATACCGCCCGATCCTCTAGCCGACCCTTCGGCCGACCCTCTTGGAAACCACTGGCACGAAATCAGACAATACCTCGAGGGTCTTCAAAGAATGTGCATGGGCCTAGAAACAGACCGCCGCATGTCTGAGGCCCGTTGCCGAGCCCAGATTGATATCGTAAGTCGCACTCTTCCAGCCCAACAAACTCCTTCTGACCACCCCCTAGATCTACTCCAAAATGGCCCAAGAAGACAACGTCCTCAATGCCCGCATGGCCGTCGCCTCCTCCCGCGACTCCTCCTCCATGAAGGCCCTCGCCGTCATCACCGCAATCTTCCTCCCGGGCGAGTTCCTCGGCACCCTCTTCGGCATGTCCATGTTCGACTGGCAGGCCTCGGGCGAGGACGCCGACTCCTCCACCAACTCCTCCACCGAGGGCTCCTCCACCAACCCGAAAGACCCGATCCCCGTCCTCAGCCACCTCTTCTGGGTCTACTGGGCCACCGTCATCCCGCTCACGGCCATCATCCTCTTCGCCTGGCGCGCATGGTGGGTTAGCCAGGACCGCTACTTCCGCCGGCACCTGTCGCGCGAGCTGAGCGAGGAGCGCTACTGGACCGCCGACGGCAAGCCGCGCGAGCTGGAGCACTCCTTCTGGTGGGACTTCTTCTACCTATCCGTGAGGCGGGACGAGAGGCCTGCACCGACGGCGGATCCGTACGGTAGTCTGGACTTGTCGCCGAGTCTGAGCCAGGATAAGGACGAGCTGCGGTCGCCGAGGGAGACGACGGCGAGGAGGGGCCAAATTTCTTTCATGAGGACGCAGAGCTTGCGGCAGAGAAATCATGTTGCTGTATGATGGGCTATGTGTTTGCGTATATAATGTTACGTGTGGGGAGGCCCTGCTGAGCGTTTGTTTGGAGTTGAGGCTGCATTTTGATAGATGTGACACGATATTTACGCTTGTATGCGCGATATGGAATTGCTACGAATCTGAAGATATGCCATAATCATTTTCACAAATATTGCTCGCATCATACGCCCGTGTGACGAGGCATTGGGTGTTGCGTGGGGGTCGTTGATGAGTGATTACTGACCCCCACCTTTGTGGGGTACATAGTACACAGATTTGGGCAAAGTTTTCATCCAGCACGGTAGCTCAGGGGTAGAGCGCTGGGCTCATAACCCAGAGGTCCCTGGATCGAAACCAGGTCGTGCTAATACTTTTGCAATTTTTGCTAATTTGCTGCAATTGGTGCTCGAGACCTCTCAACTTAGATCGTGTGTTTTTTTGTTGTTGCTATTTTACCATCCCTTCTAGACATCAACCTTTCCTTGGTTTTTTGACGGTAATATTCTCTATATATGAATGTTCGTTACAGGGCAGCAAGAGATGTCAAATACGAAGCGTCCGCCTATTTTTCCTGTGCTATACCGACTACTTTTCCTGTGGCCATACTCTACCTTACCGTTGTTACTTCTGTCACTATTGCTTCTATCGCCGTCCTCGTTTCTATCGTCGTCGTCGTCGTCGCTATCATCCCACAGGAGTAGTTAAGTGCACAGGAAACATAGCGGCGCAGACACAGGAAAACTCGGCGGTCTCAATATGAAATTCAATTTGCCAGTACACAATCAACCTGACATCAAAACCGAGAATCAGTAATCACATGAGTTCAGCTCACTTATGACTTAACTTTAATCGTGTTCTCTCTGACACAATGGTCTTGTAGTCAACTCAAAGGTAGACTTTCCCATTGTCTACGTCTCAGACCCGGGGGTCGAGTCTTGTTCAGGCCTCAAGACCGTGTACTTGTTTGGTTGCTTTGTCTTTGACTTCGGCTTTGAAGACCTTTCGTTGGCATCGTTCACTCTTTCTGGGAGGACAATGGGCTTGTATAAGATCACACGAAAGCGCACAAGACCCAGACTCAGAACAAGAGAACCAGAACATCAAAATAGATCATCCCAGTTTCTATTTCTTATTTAAGCGCACTTCGACGCCAAACGGGATCAAAATGTCAGACTACAGCCCCAATCAACACGATACCAGCACATCCACCCTCGCACTTTCAGACCACACAACTTCGTCCATATACTCAGACTCAGACACAGACACAGCCAACATGCCCGGCCCCGCGAATAACCCGCCCCAAGGCTCACGCTTCACAAACCCTTCTGCTTTCCCCCTTGAGATCCCCGGGATGAGCCCCTTGACATCTCCCGTTCTCGCCGACATCTCTCCTATCAACGCCGACGACGAGATTTATGAGCATGATCTCAATGGCATGGACAAGGATGCTCGGGATATGATCATGGTAGACGCAGGTCGTAAATATGTCATTCCTGAATCATCAGACCCTACGGAGCCTCCCGTCTTGGCTACGGTCTGGGACACGATCAGCAGAGACCAACAGCCAGGACCTGACCGCGAGGTCCTCTTCAGCGCCGAGCTGGAGTTCTGGGTTCAGGTCTCTGGCGAAGAAGGCAAGGCACTCACCTGTCCACCCAGGAATTTTGTCAAACGCGCTGATATTCCCCCCGATGAATGTTTGGAAAGGTTCCACCTCCAGTATCGTATTTGCAGGTACCTCCGAGACGAAGCGAACTTCTTCTCTATTTCAGAGTCCGCAGACCAAAAAACGGAGGGACTCTGGGAAGAATATAGAAAAGAGGTCCGTAATGGTTCACACGCCTACAACGCGAGCGGCCACTGGGACGTCATGGTGGAACCCAAGAAGCAGCTGCCTGAAGAGAACAACAAAGAGTGGGAAAGATATAACAAAGACTGGATGCTCGTGCGCATTCAATCGCCTCTGATGCGGTTCTCTGAGGAAAACATCAAGTTTTTTGATGCCATCACGATCGCACTGAAGGATATGCCTGGCCTCATCATCGGGCTGGATCATAGGCCTCGTCTGCGCGTAAGCCTCAAACCGCTGACGGGCTTCACCCTGCCAGACCTCAAGAAGCTCCTCACTTTTCTGTGGTCTGTCTCCCCTCTGATCGACACCCTCCACGCAAAGTACTGCGGCCCTGGCTCACTCATCGCCCCAGGCCTTGAGTTCTCAGAGGTTTTCAACTGCCTCCCTCATACTTGCTTATCCGATGCCGAGTGGCGCGCTCCCCGAGAAGAAACGGCCTTCACTCATGGACCTCCCATCAAGACAACCACCAAAATGTTCCAGACCCCTGACGTGATGCGCAACTCTTCTTTCTCCAAGTACGCCCTCCTCGAAATCGCAACCGCGGAAGACATCCAGACCCTTGTCAGCATGACCGATATCCCCATACAACACGAAGACGGCCAGGTCTACAATCACCCTGGCGCGTACGACTTTTCCGGCCTCCTCAAATCCAAACGCGGAGACCAGAGAGTCCAGTTCGCGCAGCACGCCGGCACGATGGACTTCGCCGCCATCTCTAACTGGATCAAGGTATGTCACGGCCTCGTCTCATTCGCCATCAACGCCCCCCGCGACCGCATCGAACACATCCTCTCCCTGAACTCGCCCGTCCAAGGCACGCTCAACACATATGACGTACTTGAACTCCTCACAGATATCGACCTGTCCCCGCAAGCCGAATACTACCGCAACCTCAACCCGCGCCGCTTCCCTCCAGACCTCGCTGCCCGCCAACCCTGTCCCACCATCGACCTCGCCGAGCACTCCTGGCTCTCCCCATACACCTTCGGCGTCGAGCTCGAGTTCCTCCTCCCATACGCCCTCGAAGTCCCCGACCGCCACGAAAAGCGTTGGACCTACGTCCTCCCCTCCGACACCGAACCAGCCTTCATCTCCTCCACAATCTACGAGCACACCGCCGAACACCTCGCCGCCCTCCTCAACAGCAAAGGCCACTTCAGCGCAACCTACAACACCGTCAAACAACGCAGGGACGAACCACCCCACGCCCACTACGCATCCCACCTCGCCACCGTCTCCGCCGTCCGCGGCCGCACCGTCGACATCGTCCCCGGTGCCTCCCACATGTACCAGCTCTGGCACGTCTCCCAGGACTCCAGCCTGACCAAGCACCTCGGCCCGATCCTGGGCTACTCCGGCGGCGTCTCCGGCTTCGAGATCTCCTCGCCCATCTTCCGCGACCGCGCGTCCGACTTCCGCCAGATCCTCAACGTGCTCGCCATCCTCCGCGCCGAGACGCGGCCGATGCTGGACGGCACCTGCGGCACGCACGTTCACGTCGGCTCCGTCCGCCCCTTCACCCTTACCGCGCTGAAGAAGCTTGCCTGCCTCGCCTGGGTGGTTGATCCCATCCTCAGCACGCTGGTGCACCCCGTCCGCGGCGCGGTGCACCATGCCGCGCCGCTCCGTAAGGGGTCCAACCTCGCGGAGAACAGGAGCCTGCGCAGCTACGAGGACTTGTTAATCGGCGGGGACGATAAGATGCTGGTGGTTGAGATTGATTCCCATCTCCCCATGCGCGGTCTCACGAGCCGTCTGCAGGACGAGTTTACGTGTATTTGGAGTGCTGGTGACCATAATAGGCTGACCGGTCTGCTGGCTGCGGCGAACGGTACGATGCCCCCGCGCGGTAGCATCTCATTTGACAAGATCAACTGCATGAGTGGTAGTGCTTTTCCGTATGGCCCATGGGAGCCGGTTCTCGTGGGCACCATCGAGTTTAGAGCGCTTGAGGGGACCCTTGACCCGGTGCTGGTCGCCCACTGGGCTCGGTTGGCGGTCGCCATTGTGCGTACGGCGGTGGATGCAGAGCCTGCTGAATTCTTCAAGATCATGACCAGACTCCTGAAAGAGCGCAGAAACAGCAGGGAGCGACTCAAGTGCTTCCTGGAAGTTGTTGGCATGGGACATACGTACTCCTACTGGAGGGAGATACCCGAGCAGAACAAGTCCCTCGCGGCACTGGTCGAGCAGTGGCATCCGAAGAATCGATGGGTTGGTGATGAGCCAGATCTGGCGTGGATCGAGCGGAACGTGGTTGCTCTTCCCAAACTCCCTAGAGGTGCAGCTGACGAGCTGGAGAAGGCTTTCAAACGTTGATGGCAGGAACAAAGAGGGGGTAAGTTACACATGCAGATGCTGAGCTACGACATGATGCAGCATCACCACCCCGCAATCTCACGACTGCAGATTCTTTTAGACAAAGGCTGCCGCAAGCAGAAATGTTTTAGATAAGGTTGGTGTCACAATTCGGATAGGCAAGCGGAAAATATGATGAAATGTGCAATTGCAAAAAGGTATCTAGACTGTGTAGTCGCAAAATGTTCCACTCCTCGAGGCAGTACCAATCACCATGTCAGGTTGTCCACCCCAGATAGCAAATGATGAATTACCAGATCCCATGCAGGCTGTCTCCCAAACTCTGAGCCATGTGACTTGAGAAGAGAATTCAGATTTCCAGCTGAAGCAGCTTAGAAGCTCCACTTCACATCGCCAATCTTGCCAGCGCCAAGGTCGGCAAAGGTTCTGAAGACGGCAGGGCTGACGTCAATGTGGTCAACACCACATCCCATACACTTGTCGACGATGGTAGCAGTCTTAGTGATGCCGCCGCGGGAGATGGTGATCGTCTTGCCACAGTTGGGGTTAGGGTTGCCTCCAGCATCACCCATGGTGATGTGGGAGATGGCAACTACCATGTCGTTGTCTCCGTTGGTTCTACCACAGGAGCCCAGCGAAGGGTTGAACCAGGTCATGACACGGAACCACTACCACGGCGGTCAAGGGAGTTGTTCTCAGCACTGCAAACACCCAGGTCAGAACAAGCCAGTGAAGAAGACAAAGGAAAAGATACGTACGGCTGGATGTCAGCGTGAACGCGGCAGACAGTGTAGAGGAACCACTGTGACTCCGAGTTGCCGTTGACAATAGAGGTGGCACATCCGATGCGGGTGGCCTTACCTGAGAGAAGCTGCTCTGTAGAGGAAAGAAATTAGCAAAGGAAGGAGGCGTGGATGCTGAAGGAACGTACCGGCAAGACCAAGCTGCTTGGCAACATCAGTAGACTGCTGCTGGCCGTCGGCGTTGAGCCAGTTCTTGGAGGACTCAGCGATGGGGCGAATCATCTGGACAGAGTTGTGGTCCTCGGTGCGGAACATGCTCAGAAGCTCGCCAGCGCCGTTGCGGTCAGAGGCAGGCGCGTGTTCAAGCTTGTTGTCAGCGGCAAGGTTGCCGGACCAGACGTGGGCATCCTGCTTAAGGGCATCATCCCAGCCAAGAGGAGCCTTGCCGACCTTCTGGCGGGCTTGGTTGATGAGAGCGAGGCCCTGGACCTCGTCGGTGCTCAGAGTTGCAGCCTGGGCCATGCCAAGAGTGGCAAGGCCAATGGCGCTGGCAGTGATGATAGACTTGGGGAACATCTTGAGGTTGTTATTGATTGGGCTTGGGGAAAGAGTGAATTCGTCAAAGAAAGATGGAAGATTGAAGTGAAAGTGGAAGGTGAAAGACTGAAGGACCTGGTAAAAGACTTGAGTGGTGAGTGAGATGGAGAAGAAGTTGTGAGGTTGATGGGAGAGAGAAGCGGATTATATAGCCCGGGGAAGGAGGGTCAAGATGGTGGTATAGGTAAATGCAGGAAGGAGTTCAGATCGCTCTTCCTGCTGTTAGCAGCAAGCACCACTTGGAATGAGGCCATTTGAGCAAGAGCGGACTTACAGATAGGAAGAACAGGAGCAGGAACATCCCCAGAGAATCCACATCTCCACCAGACCCCCAAGAAGCTTGGCATCAAGACTCCAGTCACAGCTTCTGCAGAGATCTCACGCTTCTAATTGGGGGCGTGCTTTCCATCTCACTGGTCGTTCCTGCTTCAAAGGAAGTTGCCATGTCTGAAGAACTGCTGTTTGTCTGCCAGGGATAGGAAGCTACCCCGCTCCCGAGGACTGAGCTTCCTAGAGCTGAACTGATTCGAAGGAGGCTGAATCCAGCTCTCCATGGGATCATAAGCCTCTCTGGAGGAATTTGTCTGCTTTCAGCATCTGGGGGGTGGGGGTAAGGGGGCTGCTTGTTGGTTCTAAGCAGCCTGAACAAACACACTTTTCCATGAACGTGATAAGCCATAACAAAGAAACCTAAGGTAGTACAGGGAGCTCAGTCTCTGCAGTATATATGATTTGAGGTCTTGTGTGACCGCACAGTTGATGACACCGGAGCATTTTTGAAAATGCAGATACTCTCCTCGTCCAATACAAGACATTCTCAAGATGTCCAAACCGCTACGCCACCAAGGTATGACTGGCTTTTTCCAGCTCCTAGAGAATATCTCCCAGTTGGCACTAAGTAGAAGTCAAATGAACGTTCAATTCGATTCTTAACTTTTTAGCACTGGCTGATGTACTTGCCCCTTGCATCCACATTGCTCTCACCCCGTTGTGACACGATACACCACAGTGCGGCGTATACAGACACACAATCAGTTTCCTGCCGACTTAGCCCTTAGGATGAGACTTGAAGGTCTCCATATGAGAAGGTGAGATGTTAAGGTGTGTAGAAGGCATTGAATAGCGACTGACATTTGATTGGGTAAATCAAGATTGTGGTGATAATGATGTTTCTGATCTCTGGAATTAACCCAAACTTACGTTGGAGTTAACCACCACGACTGATGGCCTCCGTCTCTCAAATAAGAGACATCTAGAAGAACTAATACTTTAACTTCAAGTCACCTGAACTATGTTTTGGCATTTTAGGGAATCTTTTCCTGGTTTCCGAGGCGAGCGTGGTAGTTACTTCGGTGTAGATTTCGGTGGATGCCGGTCAGCCAAAGTGGATCCGGTGAGGTCGGTGAGTAAGCTTTGGGCTAAACCGCTTTGGGAGCTCAACGTTGGTCGGGAAGTGCCGACTTGATTTTTCTGACGCGCCTTGCTGCTCCCCAAGTGCATTTCCAACGCGGTCCACATCCCACAGTCGGCGCTCACCTCCACGACTAGCACCCGCGGCGTGCAAGCATCGTCAGCCCCGTCCAATCGAGCATTGTCGCCAACGACACAGCGAACCACGATCGAAATCGTGCATGCGCATTGACTCTCGTTCAGCATCGTCCCGCCGCCCTTGACGTGCCCTTCCAACACCACCGCCCTGCGACAGCTTGCGATGACCCATTGGGTCTACTAGCATCACAACATGGACGTCCGATCAAAGCCCCAGGCGTTCCTGTCTACGTATGCGCCACGTATTCGAAGCTACAACAACTCTCTCTTGACACCTGTCCTGCAAGCCGCGGGACCATCTGCACCCCTCTCGCGAACGACAAAGCGCGGAACCACCATCATCAACTACGCCGAAGATGGATACGACGACATCGACGATGACGATGATGATAGCCGTCGCCGCCCGACTGGCTTGCGCAGTTTGAGAAGAGAGGACACTGCCAACAGGCTGGATCTGTCTGATAAGGCTGGCAAGGATACAAACGAGCCGGTCGACGTACAAGGCATCTGGAGAGACTGGTTTGGCAAGGGACGCCAGGTGCGAAGCGACCAGCAAAACTCAGCGCAGGCCGACTTGCCCCTTACGCTGATTCCAATTCGCATCGAGCTGGACATTCCGGCGTTCGTCCCCCAAGTGCCATTTCCCTCAGCGCCTCACACCGTCGACACCAGCCTGCCTCAATACCGTACGCAGGAAATGACGCCGCCCTACCGACTACGCGACAACTTCCTCTGGAACCTGCACGAAACTGTCATCACGACCGAGCAGTTCGCGCAGACCTACGTGCAGGACCTGGATTTGCCGAACCGCCACAACACGATGCTCGAAATCGCCAAGCAGATTCGCACCCAGCTCGAAGAGTATGCTGGCGTCGCATTGCACCCGCTATTCCATGCGCAGTCGCAAAACCCCGGAAATAATGATGCAACAAAAGCAAGCTCTGTAGCCAACCATGAAGAGTCTCCCACTCCTGCTACTGGCGCTGTCAGCCGCTCCGATACCCCTATGCAGAACGGCGGCTTGGGCACACCAGCCAGGGCCAAAGAAGCGACCTCAGCTCCAGATGTTACCGCACATGCCACTCCCATTCCCGTTGGCTCCGATGAGTACGACCATGACGACGCCTATCGATGCATCGTAACCCTAAACATCAATCTTCAGTCGACCCTCTACACTGACAAGTTTGAGTGGTCTTTACTGCATCCTCCTGGCATGCCAGAAGCCTTCGCTGCCCAGACCTGCGAAGATCTCGGCTTGACTGGCGAGTGGGTTCCTGCTGTCACACATGCCATTTATGAAGCAGTTCTCCGACTCAAGAAGGAGGCCTGTGAGGCCGGCGGCCTTGTCATGGGATGGAATGGTCTCCGCGAATTCCCCAACGATGCTACGGCTGGAGCAGATGCCGGATGGCGTTATGACCCCGAGAATCTGGGGGATCCTTGGGAGCCCAAGGTCGAGTTCCTCAGCAAGGAGGAGATCGAGAAGCGCGAAGGCGATAGAGAAAGACAAATCAGGCGACTCCGCCGTGAAACTGCCCGTTTCAGCTCAACGACTGGCTTGGTCGGAGGCGTGCCATTCTCTGGTTTCGGCAATGTGGTCGAGGCTGTAGAGGAAGAGCGTATGGGCAGAGGCGAGCGATCCAAGAAGAAGAGGCGATTCCGCAGTCTAAGCCCCGTCGGCCGGTCGGGCACGCCAGGCGGACGAGGCACTCCCGATGTTGGATCCGGTTATGGTGCTGGAAGCGGTTTGTCGGATCAGGAGCGGTTGTCTTGGAGATGCGCTCACTGCGCTCTCTGGGGCTCCAGTGTTTGGGCGGTAAGACCTGGGCCCAATGGACCAAGGGTAAGTCTCTCAATTATTTTACCCCATCTGATGGGCCCTCGCTAACTTTGAACAGTCATTGTGCCAAAACTGTGGCCTGCTCTTTGAGCGCGACGGAAAATTGCCTCGCCAAACCAAGAACATGCACCTTACTGTCATTAGAACAGCATAGTAAACAGATCGGTTACTTCTTTGAGGTGGGCTTCGAGCCGAATGGGAAAATACGGAGTTCCCGGCAGATGACCTCCGATTCTTCAGGATTTCGGGCTGTGGGCCAATGTTTTGTGTGTATAAGAGGCGATGAGGACGGTTCTGGCAGGCGTTTCAGGGGTATTTGGGCCTCTGGCCAACAGGCAGTCAAGGAGTCCGGCTGCGAGCAGGGTTGCGAGATATTCCATCTGCTTTTGGAGTAATACATATCGAGACACTGCCTCCTGGCAGATATGGTAGCGTAGATTAGGTGTTCAAACCATTACACGCTTTGGCGAGCTCTCGAAAACTCAGCGTCAGACCAAGATTCACCATATAGTTATTGCGACTATCGCTTTTGGTCCTGTTCGTTCTCGGGCCACGAATGGTGGTCGAGGAGGTGCGTACAGTGCGTGCTTCGGTGTAATATCGGGTTCATTGGAAAAGCGCACTGTATCTATCTTAGCAGCGATGGGCACCGTCCCCTCCACACCACTCCCAACTTCACACGAACAATCTCGTCGGATCGGTCGACATGTGATGCTCGATTTTCTTCCACGGAACAGTGCCACTTTTGCGACGTTATTTCCGCCTTTTGATCACCAGCAGTCCGCGGCTCGCACTTACTAACGTTAGCTTCTCTGGTTACAGCCGCCAATGCGACGTCGTGGCGAGAGGAAGCCAAATCGGGAGGTGAAAACCACGGAGCCTCGACTTCAACCTCCGCAATGCGAACTCGCGCTTTTCCTTTAGTGGAATGTCACCAGTGACGAATCCACCAGCACGACTTTTCCCGGGTGTTTGGGCAGACCGCCGACCCCTCTCCCCGTGATGGCTGGAGCTTTCGGGCGGTACCTGAGAGGCATTGATGCCTGGGTGCAGCCTGGCTACGCATTCTTCACGTCAAGATCTGGGTCGGGTGGTGGGGGCCCGCTTCTCGCTTCTGCGGCGATGCCGTGAGATTCAGGAGGAGACCATGCGCACAGCCAAGTGACTCCATGTTGTTGACTGCGGTCGGGTGTATGCTCAGGCGTTGAGGACATCTGGAAGCTGATGGTCATCCAGCCGAGAACTATGTCTGAGCCCGTCCGCCGGCCCATTCTGCCCAAGCCTGCAGCTTGAGCATCGCCCGAGGCGACGGATGCCAGTTTCGGCTGGTATTTCGAAGCAGACGAAGATCAACTTTGGCGCTCCTCGTTGCTGTCCAAACCGGTCCCGTCCCGCTGTTCGCGGCGCTTTGCTGTCCGCAGCTTCAGTTCGGTCCAGTCTACTGCTCACGATAAGACTTTCGCCCAGTCAAAATGCCCTCTGGGTGACGCGGTATGGACTCCGTCATTCCTCGCTTAAGCGCCACGTCGATATTGCCAACCACACGCGTTGTCAGCGATGGGTGCCCTCTGTCGTATCCCGCTCATTTACG